GGTAGCACTGATGACGTATACACGGTAATCCTTCAGAAATGGCAAACTTCACTGTTTCATTTACCGTTGAAGACATGAGAAATGTTCGAAGTGAAAGTTCAGTAATTTTTTTGGAATAAATAACAATTGATTTTTAAGGAATAATCAGGATTATTGACGTTTTTTATTTTTAAGAAGAGTATACTACATAGAATGAAAATTTCTTTAAAAACAAATTCATTAATTATTATGAATTTTGACAAATTAAAAATTTAGTATTTTAAAATAAATATATTTCGATACAAAAGTGAGTATTAAAAAGAACCAATTTGAATTATAATGAATTTTGACAAATTAAAAATTTAGTATTTTAAAATAAATATATTTCGATACAAAAGTGAGTATTAAAAAGAACCAATTTGAATATTCATTGTAGTTTAATTATTTTGAACGACTTCTGTCGATCCTGTATCAATAGAGCAACCACCTAATAATTCCAGCTTAACCGCTATCTTCCAAATATATTATTCATGACTGTCTCGCTTTCCATTTCAGAGTCTGTGTTCGTGCGACGTTCGACTTTCTTCTGATTCAGACACTAAGGACTAAAATCTTCTTTCCTTACTGAGTATTCTTACGTATATGTAATTGTGATTCAATTCAGGTCAAGTCTCTTGTTGTGATCCATGAAAATTTTACTAAAACATACTTATATTAATCGCTCTACATATTTCTTGTCCGGTTTCCAACAAAAATTTTTTTAATAAGAGTATTAACTAGATAAAAAATTATGTATACTTTGGTAAAGTATTAAATATATAACATCGTGTCATAATATTATGTTGCTCAGGCAGAAGCTGCCACTTGTTACAAATTCAATCGTCTCATCTGCTTCTCCCTTTAACGTTACAGTGACATCCTCTATCCATCTCCATCCAGTGGGTTAGGTAACAAGAGTGCCGTTATTCTTCCCCAATAATAAAAAATTGAGTACCTTTTTAGTTACAGCAATTCCTCTAAAATGTAATTTTAGAGCGAAATATATCGATTTTATTATAGTTAATATATAATTTAAATTATTGACTTATACATTTTTTCATATCTACAGCGTTAAAGAAAATAATTTCAAATTGTTTCTGATGTGCTACCGTATATGTATACGTTATGTTGTTTCAGAATGTATGATGTTTTGAAAGGTGTTATTTGAGAACCTTTTATCCGCGTTCTTCGTGCGTCGAAGACCAAAAAGAAAACTTGGTTCGTTCCAAGGAAACATATTATTTGAGTGCACGTCACTGACGTGTTACTAATTAGATAATAAATTGCGGCGAGTTTCATTTGTTTTATTAAGTAATGAATATTAAGATACGTGACATCGACGCGCGCCACGCATTACGAAGACTTCTTTTACGCAAAGACTGTTTTATCTTCGCGCTGTGTCCACGGGATTGTTTTTGTCCCGACGTTGCACACGCGGGATTAGATAATAAAGCATATCAGGATCGGATTATCGGGTATCGAAAACTGGGCGTATGCGCAAAACTCTCGAAACGGACGATTGTCACTGTAGCAACATTATGCTCGTTCGAAACGATCGAGACCGCGTTTCCATGGTGAATTTCACGATTTTCATTAAATACCGAAGAAACATCGATCCGATACTGAATGCTCATATAACTCGATTCGATCCGACACATTCGTTGTGATCAGCTGAGCGGATCGTAGATAACAACGTAGAAAGTACATTGTCGAAAATGACTTGTGCGCTCACGTTCTCCTTTTTGAGAGTCACTGCTCGCTGACATACCGACACCCATGGTTTTTGTCAAAATATTCGAGACGACTGTATATGCATATACATATATGTATGTATATACATATATGTATATGTATAGAGAGAGAAAGGTGGCGTACACGATCGTCGTAACGACGATTTTTTGAATACCACTATCAATACTATTGTACAAATATTTAACGCGAAGCCATTTTTAAGAAATTTTCTCTACACACGGTTGTCCAATTAGAAGAAGAAAAAAAAAGAAGATAATTCGTGAATTGTTCGAACAGCGAGATACGGATGTAACGTAATATATTTGTTGCAATAACGAATTATCATCGCTACAAAAGTCGACCAATCGAACGACACAAGGGTTAAAACCCGTATTTGCAATACATTAATAGCAATAGGTGTCCTGTGTTTTTATACGCGCCCTCTTTTCGATGCGTGTCAACAAAGTCTAGCACAAAGGACGGAGGGAGAACAGTGGAGCAGTGGCGTCGCTAAATCGCATCGCGCGAAACGGCCTTTCATGCTCGCTGGAACACCTACGGCATGCATTGTTCGACGAATCGTTTTTGTCGCCCGGGCTAAAGCACAGATTGCACCGTGTGTCTCCGTCGATAATATTGCGCTGTCGGCGAATTGTAAGACAGCGGAACGTCGCGAACGCGTCCGTTCCGATAATGCAATATTTTTCTTGCAGTAACAGGCCTAACCCTAAATCACAGAATAATTTGCGCGCGCACGCACTGGAAAACATCAGGCAGAAGACGTTTTTTTTTTCGATTATTTTTGCAATTACCGCGAAACGTGTGGTTATCGAGGCAATCGCGAGCATAGAAAGCGAGTTACATTTCATACATTCGGTGACTTAATCGTTAACGTCGTCATTACCTCTATTCAGTAACCATTCATTCGTGGGCCTGCGTATAATGGGGACGGTCGTTCCGTTATTTTGCAGATTCACGTGTATTTATTGGAGGCACACGCACGCGTTACGCAATAGTGATGTAATATCACCACCAGATGGATGAAGAAAATTGTCAAATACTTGAACGTCAGCCATAATGTATTCCAATTTGTAATACTTTTTATTACCGACATACGTTATGTAATAATTACATGTTACCAGTTTCGTATTGAATTGAACGGACAAACGGGGAAATCGCCGCTGTTGTCCGTCTTTCACTTGCTCGCTCGCTTCCTTTCGCTATCTTCGTTTTCATTGACATTTCGAACATACAATTATGTGACAGGGTATAATCAAACTTCTAATTACAATTTAGCGACACGCGATACTGTAGACACGCAGTACTGCGAAGTTCGATTTTTTCGACCATTGTTCGTAAAGTATTAGATGGCGTGTTTAATCGATTTTACAATCGAACGTCATGTTTGATACTTCGGCTACGTTAACGAAATTGATCCTCGTTAATCGATCGCAATGATTATATATTTCGTGTTTCTTCAGTTTGTGACCCACTTTGTAAAAAAAACTGATAAAAAAGGACGTTACTTAGATACAATTATTCCAACACCGAAAAAAAAAAAATTCAACTGTCAAACCAACCGATTGGTTGTAAGGACTGTACCACTAAATCTTAATGCGTATGTAGAAAACGTATCGACATAGATTATCTCGCAAATGAAACGATTGTAAGAACCGGCATAGGTGCGTTAAAAGTGCGCTTCATCTTAAACGCGAAATCTATATTTAAAACTGTATTTATATTGTATCAAACATAATGCAGTGAAGACAGTGAAAATATATTTGCAACATAGATATAAGTACAGTACAAGAAAATTAAAAAAAAAAAGAAGGAATTAAGACGTTGTAAGGTTCAAGAGATGAATCTACTGTGTACTATAAAAAACATAAATATTTTACGACAAATAAGAAATCTCAAGCTATCCATACGCTAGCCGAATATTGTATAAGCTTTTTGAGATCATTGTTATTATATATAAAAATCAATATAAATGGTAGAAAGTAGTTGATCGATCGACGACGACGACGTTAAAAAATATATACATAGATATACCTATGTAAGTATTGTGTTACATAGAATATATGTTATTATGAATTCTTCTGCATTATTGTTTTAAACCATTTATACCTTCTGCTCATTGAATAATATTAACTTCTAAGGCAGTAACAATCATTAAGTTATCTCATCTAGATGAAGAATAACAATCATTTATTATGCCTGTAAATGATACAATTAATGAGATATGTGATTGAAATAGCTTGCTTCATCTAAATATATTTTTACCTAAAGAATTAAACAACTGCTATCAATGAATCACATTTAAGGAAATATGTTTCTTCATGATAACTGTGCTTGTCACAGGTGGAAAATTAAATGTGATTCATGATAATTACAGTATTGTATACTTGTATATAATAATTGTATTTTAAAAGTAAAAGTTAATTAGGAAGGTATCTTTTAAAATAAAGGCTACATTCTTGCTTTGAAGAGAAATAGTTTTTATTCTTGTCATTTATGTAGTACTTTTATTTTACATTATACACAAATTTATACATTTGTTGTACACTCCAGCACAAATATTTAAAAAATTTCAATCTATGCACTTATGAAATACTTTAATCTCGGTTTACCTTACAAATATATAAATCTTGAAATATGCCACAATTTCAGTGTCTCTATTCAATGTACACTTACAAATAATGTATTATAATTAAATACGTAACTTTAAACATAGTTTGCATTCAAATTTATAACAATAAACTAGAAATTTTGTGAGTGATTTTTTATCGAGCACACAAAATGACAATCGCTGTTACATGTGGAAATGCACATCACTGCATTAGAAAGTGAAGTTGCAGGTTAGTAAACATTAACATCTTAAAAACTCTATTAACACACTTGTTTTTCACATATGGAACGAATATTAAATTACACATTAACATCAAAAGTCATATGGTCCATCAAATATTATGTAATAATAACGATAATATTTCAGTGTCACCAGTCTGTCATATAAGTATTTAAAAATATTCCTACATTTTTATTTATTGGAAGATAAACTATGCGTAAATCAAAATTATCTCATTAGGCAGAGGTATTGCAAATTATAAAGATTTGTGTAATACGCTTCTGTACTATGTTCAATAAAATATGGAATATTGTCGAGTAATCGTAACTAGTATTGAAATGTTGGCTTTCAACGGTTGTCGAACTTGCATATACATGACGTATACACAATGCATGATGCTGTGACGTTGTCATGTAAGTGATATCCACTTATAGAATATGATTTAAACATACACTTTACATATTATCGTGGTCCGGTTTCAAAGTTGAATTGCAGAAATATATCGGCATGCTGGTGATATTAGTGCAGTGTGTGAAAATATGTTGTATCGAAGAGTGGTGTACGTTTAAAGGTTATGCCATGATACAAGACGGTTAAAATATTTTGATAAAAAGAACGAATTCGTGTCAATGTAAATAACAATTGGCACCGATACGAAGTTTTCAAGTCATGGCCGATGAGGGAATTATTACAAATGCATCGACGTACGAATATCATATGGTGAACGCAGAAAACGCTCAAAACACTTCTAAAGAGCAACGAATAAACGGCAAAATGCTTTCCGATATGAGATTAGTTAGCAAAAGTGACTGGCTTGCAGTGGGAGTGTTGTGTTTCGTAAATCTCATAAACTATATGGACCGTTTTACAATTGCTGGTGTGCAGTATTTCATTTGAATATCGTAGATTGCGGATGTTTATCCGATTATAACATGAAAATGTTAGGATCTCTTGAAATATGTAAACAATAACATTAATCTCATGTAGTTTACATATTTTGATATGTTATAATTGCATACACATTAGCAGTTTAGTCGTAAAGATGTTTCATGCTGTAAAATTTTTGTATTAAATTGAATTAATGAAGATTTGTAAAGTTTGTGTGTAACTGTTGCAGGAGTGTTGACAGACATAAAAAATGATTTTAACATGAGAAATGATCAGTCTGGGTTACTTCAGACTGCATTTATATTAAGTTACATGGTGTTTGCACCATTGTTTGGGTACTTAGGAGATCGTTATAACAGGAAAATTTTAATGAGTTGTGGTGTATTTTTGTGGTGTTTGACAACATTTATTGGCTCGTTCATGAAGGCAGGTTTACAATTTATAATTTATAATCATTGGGCAGTTTTAGGATGTACAGTGCTAATACATTAGGAATTTATTGTAGTTTTTAATTAAATGACAAAGTACATTAGTTATATTTCATAGAATAAATATTTTTATAATTTATGAAATAAACTTATTTCAGACATTTAACACGTTTCTCTTATTCAGAGCTCTTGTTGGAATAGGTGAAGCTAGTTACTCCACAATTGCTCCAACAATAATAAGTGACTTATTTGTTAAAGATATGCGTTCTAAAATGCTTGCAATGTTCTATTTTGCAATACCAGTTGGAAGGTAAATTAAAATTTTATGAATATTAATGTTGCATTAAGTCTTAATTTCAACATAAGAAGTAATTTTAATATAAACTTAAAGATATATTTAATTTATAGTGGCTTAGGATATATAACAGGTGGTGAGACATCAAGAGCCACTGGTGCATGGCAATGGGGTTTACGTATTACTCCATTATTAGGCATAGTAGCAATTATTTTATTACTTACAGTAGTAAGAGATCCTATTAGGGGAGAAAGAGAAGGTGGTGTTTACTTAACAAATACTAAATGGTCAAATGATGTCAAAGCATTATTAAAAAAGTAAATATTAAAGTAAATATTGATAAAATAAATGAATGTAATAGTACCTGTGTATTTATGGTTGTGTACATTGCACATTACTTCTATATTTTCTAGTCCAAGTTTTATGCTCTCAACTGCTGGATTCACATGTGTAGCATTTGTTACTGGTGCATTAGCTTGGTGGGCTCCAACATTTTTACAATTAGGATTTGCATTACATTCTAATGCACATAAAGTTGATGCAGATGAGTATGTTTCTTTTGGGTCTTTTATTTATGTAACATTAGCTACTTCATTCACACAAATTTTGACTGTTGTGACTATTTCAAATATTTCAGTGTAGCATACAAATTTGGATTAATAGGAATGGCAGCTGGTTTAATAGGTGTACCACTGGGTTCATACTTGGCTCAGAAGTTAAGAGTACGATGGAAACGAGCTGATCCTTTAATATGTGCTGCAGGACTTCTGATTAGTGTACCACTATTATTCTTTGCAACTATAACTGCCAATACAAATTCTGTGTTATGTTACACATTAATATTTTTTGGACAGTTATCATTAAATGTAAATTGGTCTATTGTAGCAGATATATTGTTGGTACGTTTGTTGCAAGTTTTCAATCTTTTACAACTGCAGATGTTTTCTCACATTAAAATGTTATAGTATGTAGTAATACCCACAAGGAGGTCTACTGCAGAAGCTTTCCAGATACTAATTGCCCATGCTTTTGGAGATGCAGGAAGTCCTTACCTTATTGGTTTGGTAAATATCCGCATATATTTACTGAAGAATATATTCATGAATAATCATATTTTATTGGTTAATTTTTAACCAATATATTAATTGATTTTAGTTATCAGAAGGACTGAAAACGGTTCTTCTTCCAAACTTGAGTATAGGTAGTGGAACGAATCAGGTGCCACACGAAATTAGCGATACTTTCCTGGAATTTCGTAGCTTGCAATATGCGTTGTTTTTAACGATGTTTGTGGAGGTCATTGGAAGCCTGTTTTTCTTCTTAACAGCATTATATATAGAAAAAGACAAAGCTCTAGTCGATCTCATGATCGCAGGTAAGTGAAACAGTGTGCAAGTATATGAAAAAAAATTGTTTTTGTCTTGGCATTCTTTTTTTGCATGTTTGTATGAAAATCGCTACTAATCAGCTTAACGTTTGATGTATATGTACGTATACATAAGTTGGTACAAGTTTTATAATTTTTTTGACAAGTTTTTCATTGCCTTGTATTGGGAGAACTTTTTGTAAGAATACTGAAGATATTTTCTACAAGGAAATAACGCATTATCGCTTGTAGTGTATTAGCCACTAGATGTACAAGTTATTGACCAAATAATTTACTAATTGTTAATGATTTTTTAATATCATGTCATAAGATTAAAACTATTTTTGTTACCCATTTATTATCTATATTCGATAGAGGAAAACGTTGCATATAATTAATTTCTATTAAAAACTGTCTCAGATAGTTATATTAATCTTTTAGATTGTGAATAAACAGGAAAATAAAGTAATAATTTTGATGTAATTAAAATATTATTATTTTTGCACAGTGCATGAATTGTTCTCAAGTTTGGAGTTAAATGGACATATTTTGAAACAAAAAGTAAGGAAATGTTACAACTCAATTTTTTTAACACGTTAAGCGCCAAAAGTTTTTTAATAAAGACAATATAATTATAAAACTTGTTGTACACCTTATCTAATAAAAGAATTTAGGAGCATTTTATTTAGGTAATAACAAAAATATTTCCTTCAATAGAAAGTGTATTTTGTAATAAATGAAGGGGTAATCATACAAAGTTGTCCCTTTGTTTTCCCGTTTTTCTTTTAGCAATTAAAGGCGCTTAACTTGTTAAATTTGACATTTTCACAATTTAATTGATCCTTTGATGATTTGAATTTTTTAGTGAAACATAACATGTTAATAAATCTTTCTTCTCAATTCATGTTTGCATAAAGTATTAATTTAAAGATAATTTTTAGAAAAGTGACAGCTTTGTTATATAACTGATAAAAAAGCACATTTTCCTCTTTAGTCTATTTAGTTACCAATATTATGGCACTTAATGTGTTAAAAAAATGTTAGTACCATCTATATAATGTCAGTAGTCAGTTAAACAAACATAGAAAAATGATATGTTTGAAAGGTATGTAGCTGGATTAAAAACATTTTAAATGCTGTGAAAAGGGTTTACTATTAAGATTAAGCTTCAGTTAAGTTTTAAGCTTCATTTCTAAAATATTTTATCACTCGTTAATGTAAATTTATACCTTCGTTTCTTTATTTTGTTTTATAATATAGTTCGAAAAACGAAGTTTAAATTATATATGTAAATAGTAAGCCCTATGTTGGAAAAATTACATTTTTTATGCAGTGTTATACAGTATTTTACATGGCCTAATGTGGAATCTATGTAAAGTTAATTTTGTGTAATATGCATCCATCTTTCTTGCAGACAAGTATGTAGATTCTATGAATAATGGGCAAGCTGAATCAACGCATTTATAAAACGCATCACTGGGCCTTCCCTGATAGTGTGCTGTAAACCTGGTATATAATTTATTTTCATGATTTCATTTTTTTTTTTCATTTCAAGCGATAATCAGTTTAATACTTCCGAAAATTGTTATAAAATTTAAAATAAAGATTTGAAGTTATCAAAAATATTTATTTATTATATGTAATTGGAAAATAGACAATGGGAGGATTTTCCGCTATTCAAAGATTGAATAGCGCCATTATTTGAAAAAAAATTGCTTAATTTAAATGTCTCAAATTTTGTAAGTTTTATAAGTATCCTGTTTTTGTATCAAAATTAATAATTTTCAATACTATATTTTGGATTTTTTTTAATTAATATCATTGATGAAATAAAAAAAATATTGAACAATTAAATTGATTATCGAATTACATATTCTTTCATTTATATTAATTTCAGTTGATCATATTTCTCTTACATTTTTCATTTATTCTGCTTAATTTTATTCCAACAAGAACTCCATTCCTAATTACCCATTTTTATCTTGGTTTTATTATTGGTTTTCTTATTTGATTTTTATGCTTTACCAATGGTTAAAGTATTCATGAGTTTCATATTATAGTTTGTGTGTTACACAAAAGCTGATGAAGCTTGCCTACTAAAAAAGGTCCTTCTGCAGCATATTGCACAAATACAATATGTATAAGTATGCCTTGGACTTTTGCATGACAAATGCATGTAAGGTGCTATAGTCAACAATACTGTTATTATAATGCAATAAAAAACACTAACACCTACTACTATTATTAGATTATAATATATCGCTTTTTTTTATGTTCTTAATTCTCAAAATCATACAGCAAATTTTATAATGAGCAGTAATAAATGCACGTACCGCTACTAGAAGAGGTATAAAAAGAGTTGTAATTTAACAGAATTTACAATATATTTTAAGCTCTAGGATAAGAATTTAAAATAACAGAACATCAAATATTAGTATCAAAAATGTCTGAATTCCAAATTTCTTCTATTAATTATATTATATATGTTTTTAAATTTCTAATCCAAAATTAAAACACCATATATGGTCTTAAGTTCTATCTCAATACGTATCTATGCTTGAAATCTGCTTAACGTTCGATCGAATTTACGGCTTGCCCTATACCTCCCCCTAACAGTAGTATATGTTTGAATTCAGTTGCTTTCACTTAATTAATTATTTAACAAAATTACATAAGTAATCAGTGGTTGTTGAATATTAAATATATTTATGGACACTAGAATAGATTGCAACATCTATTTTTATTATACAATATGATTTTGGAAGAGAGCAACATTTTTCTGTATATTTGCCACACAAGTATTACAGTACATATATTTTAAGAATTATGTTTCAAGGGAATAACAAATAATGCTGTCTTCAAACACATGTAAATAATGCAAAAAATATGGTTCTATCAATCTTAAAAGAAAAAATATTCTGCATTTTATGCTACATGGAGTAAACAAAATGTATTAATACATATTCACAAATGTATTTTGTTTCAGGTCCAAATACTTCAGATTCGACGTATATATGTAACGATGAAGTTGAAAATGAAACACAAGAAGATATGCACGAATCATGATGGGAAATATCATAGACATTGTTTGATTAATTACAATTTATTAATTACAAGTAAATTATGCAAAACGTTGATGCGTAGATATCACCCCAACGAATATTAACTAATTATGCGTAAGCGACTATTTCGATTCTGAATGAGCAATTATTATGTCGTAATACGACTGACACAATGATAAAATGTTCTGTGAATGCAGAACGTATATAACAAAGAACAGTTTTAAAGGTTTTGTTAGTTTGTAATTATCCTCAGAAATGTAGTTCTGTTAATAATGTACAGAAATATTGAGCTTGACGGGGATTACATTTCGCTCGGCTAAAGGTTATTTAATACACGTATGTATTATAGTAATCTATATTATATTTTTATACTAAGTTTCTTCTGATAGAAAACACGTTATCCTTATGTGGTATGTAAAATAAATATTTACCGGAAGCGTCTTGTAACAGGCTTGAAATTTTGTTATTAAACATTTAGGTACTTACTAAACCTAATAACTGTCTTTACTAATGCTCATCATTTCGCGATTTACGTGCCTTGGGTGTTAAACGAAATAGTACAACCTTTTTCGATTTAAACAGAGACATAGAAAAAAGCATGCCCAAAATATTGAATAATATTTAATTAGTATAGTTCATTAAACTTTAAATGAACAAAATGTGAAATTATTGAAAAAATAGTTATTAAATTATTAAAAAGAAATAAAATTACTTTTCTATTTAAATATATTTTTTATAAAAAAAAATAGAAAAATCAGAGTACCATAACTCTGTAATTAAAAAAATAAATAAAGCAATACTTTCTGTTAGATAAGAAACTATTTATTTCTATCTGTGTGTGAAATTTTAAGTAAATAACACTTTTAAGTTCTTCTTTTTATTCATTATATATTTATCTGTGTATTCAATGTAATTTTTTAAACATTTTTTATATTTGTTTTGATTTTAAATGTATAACAAAATATCTATTTCTAAATATATTCCCGTGTGATTTTTATTTATAAATCCCGTTGAATTATCATTTAAGAAGAGATTTATGAAAGAATTTGTTATATCGAAGAATGTTCTTTTACAGTATCAAATTTTACTTCAGAATTTTTTTCTAGCATTAACCTTTCTCGAAGTATGGCCCAAAATTATATTTAAAAATATTTTACCTAACGATTATTACCTGTTTCGAATTAATTATTTCCTTCGTGCTAATTTCATTTTGAATAATGCAACACGATTAGAGTTCAAAAGCAGTTGCATCACATTCCTTTAGACCGATCCTATCTCGAAAACAATATCAATGTTGTTGACAGTGTTAATATTTGGCAAAGATAAGTTATTCGTCGAGAGGTACTCTAGACAATGCAAAATATGCATAAACAGTGCGTGAAACTCCGTTGCGAACGCACTGTCTGAGTGTTTCGAATTCTTCGTAAAAAAGAACAACAAATTTTTTCCAAGTGTAAACTCTAACCAAAGAATGAAAGTAAGATTGGCGGG